TAGCGGGAGAGGAAAAACAGACAGGAGGGACATTATCTGTTGGAGGAGATGGGAGGACGACGAGGACTTGCTACGTGGAGGGGAGCCAACGGACAGATACATGAGGGAGGCCCGATACGTCACTCATCTGGAGGAGAGGACCAGGCGCGCGTATAGAGCAGAGTGGAGAAGTGCGATCACAGAGCCTGCCGAGGCTATAAATGACTTTGATTTGTTGTTTAAATAGGGGGCCTACAAAAACTATCAGCCCCAGGGCCTGATGGCAGGTTAAGGCGGGCTTGCCCGACACCGTTGCAATGAATCGACATCTGACCAATCACGACTTTGATACGGCCACTAGTGCAGGTGAAGAGATGTTGGTGAAAAGACAGTTTCAGTCCGGCTCAAGCAAGAGGGGAAAAAAACAAAACATGAAGAAACTAGAGCATCACTCGAAGGTGGGTTATTGTATGAGTCAAAAATGTACAACTTGCGAATGTTGTATAAGTCAAATTGCCCATTGTCATATTAAAACATCAGCTGCAATTCAGGACATGAAGAAGGCAGTCTCTGCAGAGCATATAGGCTAATGGCGATGCAGTTATTTCCAGCATTCTTTATTTAACATTCATTCAAGTATGTGATGCCTTTGATCTGCTAATGTACAGGAGGAAGAGTGATAAACTGTCTGTCTAGTTGGCTTACATAACAGTTAAAGTTTACAGGCTAAAAAACATGGAGCATTTTTTCCCCTTTTATTCATTTTTATGTCAATTTGCACATTTCATGGTGATGCTCAGCCTCTCCCCTTAACTCCTAACAGTCATCATCATGGTGATGCTCAGCCTCTCTCCTTAACTCCTAACAGCCATCATCATGTCAACCACAACACAGAGAAATACTGATAGAAATGTGTGTGTAGTTGTTGATACATTGCTGACAGAGGGAATTTGAATACAAATTTAAGAAATATCCGTTTTTGAGCATGTCATAAGCATGTTTTGTCTTGACTATATTACAACTATATTATAATAAAAATAATATAGTATTTACATTATTGAATTGATTATGATTATGATTATTATTAGTAGAAGTAGTTTATTTGCATTAATTATATTTTAATCTTTTTGAGGCTAGTATTTGGCAGGAAATGCAGACGTATTCACCTGTAAACACATACTGAACGACATACATGCACATTTACCATTTACCTCACTGTATACAAAAGTAACTGTTGATAATAATAATAATAATAAACAGGAATTATATTTGCAAAGTAGCCTATTTGCAAGTAGCCCCCCCTACCTGTCGGTTGGGGGGGGGGCTCATCTCACAATGTCGCTTGGGGCCCCAAGTTGGCCAGGGGCGGCCCTGCATACATATACATTTTAGTTTATGATTCAGCCTTGGGTAAGACTTTTATAGTCTATGGCTATGACGCCCATAATGCTAAACGGGAGCAAATGTTAATAGGGGACCCAATTATCCCAGTGGTGGCCGCCGGAGCTAACGTAGCCGCAGGGGGCTAGCTCCAGCCGGCGTCCCGGAGCTAGCCCACTGCCGCTCCGTTAGGTCCGGGCGGTGGAGTCCGTCGTTATAACTGGAGATTAAGGAATGCAGCGAAACGCAGACTTGGTTCGCCTGCTGTAGTATTAGCTAAATAAATTATGTTGAACAAGGCTTATTAAGCTGAACATCGTCACAATTGTTCTGCTCTGTATCGGTACTTATTTTCTTAACGTGTGAATGACAAGCATTAAGATAACAAAACATATCTAATTCTCTTGCAGATTGTCTCATTTGATTATGAATGTAACGTTTATATAGGGGAACTACACTGTTAGCAGTAACTTGGTATGCATGTATTTCATGTTAGCTTCTTAGCCTGAGCTAGCTCTGTTTACTTCCAGTTCGGAGGCAGCAGGTCCTGCCTCGGCTCCGCCTCTTTGCCCTTATTTGGAGCAGGCGGGATTAGACTCTGACGTCACAGTCGAGCCGTTAGTGGCCGACTCCGCCTACTAAGGGCTTCACGGCAACTCTGCAGAATCCTATGGGTGACGTCACGGACACTACGTCCATTTATATACAGTCTATGGTCGTAGCTCAAGCTACTTAAAGGGTGGGTTGATTCCCTGACGTTGACGTCAAGATCACCAGCCAATCAGGATTGGCGTAATGAGATTGATGCTTCTGTTTGCATACGCGTTGAGGCGCATCCCATAGTGAGACATCTCACTTCATGTTACTCTGAGAACTGGGGTTACGTAAGTAACCTATAGTTTTCAAAAAAGTCTTCCGTTCGACACCGCTGGAAACGCTGGAAACGCTGTAGTACATATGCCAGGCCTGTAAGTGGCGCTGCTGCCGTCACAAAATACACCAAAAGCAGCAAAGAAGACCCCGGAGCATGGTTGCCATGGTTGCCCTTCTGTTTATTCTCCGCGGTGGACGGCGTGTGCTCCTGCTGTAAAGATGAAAATCACCCACCTCTCCGCCTCTTCCAAGGGACGAGGGAACCGTGCGGCAGAGTTTCCGTTAACATTTTTTTCGCCGGTCAACATGTCCGTTAAAGTTTAAATCTTCCGTACAAAATTAGAACAGTGCCGGTCAGAGGTCTTCTTTGTTATTTATTGAGCTTTATAACGACTCTATATAATAATATAAGAATAATAAACAGAGCCTCTCTTTTCCTCCCCCTCTTCTGACAGCCCAGCAGCTGATCTCTGGGCAGGAGACGTGGGGAGAGGAAGGCGGGGCTATTTCATCGTTATCAGAAAATGATCGTATAGAGGCGTACAGACGGATCCGTTTGACCCCCCAGAGCGTTTCGTTTGCAAATCTGTCCACCTTGGGACCCGTTATCGTTTGCGGGGTCCGTTTCTATCGTTTTGTTACGGCTTCGTGTAAAATAAAGGGCTATACGCAAGAGAAACTATGCGGATCCAACCCGTTTCGTCCTCGTGTAAACGGGGTCTGGCACTTCCACATAGGCTTTACTTTTCATACCATCAGGTGGATGCTCGGGTACGGACGGGATCTTTGTCGCAAATCATACCCCATCACTCTCTTCTCTTGTTTCCTGTTATCTTATTTGAAGTGAATAAAGAACTAAATTGAAACAATAACGAATTATCTGAAAAAATACACATTGTCTTGGATGAAGCTATCTTTTTTGTTTGTGGAAACTTTACATTTTGGAGCCACATGGTTGTCAAAGGACAGTGATAACATAGTTAAGGCCCCTCGCTGATTCTTATGCAGCACATACAGCCTGTTTCACATCTGGAGAAGACAAGTCTCTTTTCCTCACTGGTGATGACTGATCACACCTGTGTCCATTGGAATTTTGTAAATCATTTGGACTGACTTCAGCAACATCTGGATTTTTTTCCCTGTTTAATACCCTTTTATAGTTTTAATTTTTGTTTGCTTGGGTGCAGTTTCACTCTTTGGTACCCAGGGATTTTTATTCAACCCTTATTTATCTTTAAAAAATATATTTATTATAAATGTTTGTAAAATAAGATTTGGCAGAAGGGTTTTGCTATTGGAATCAAATATTATTTTGGTCTGTAACCCATTAGAAAGGAGTGTGTCCCCCCATTCGTTCATATAAACCCGTCCTCAGACAGTCACTTGTGTCCCAGATGTTATTTACCGTGTCCAGCTGTTGAGCCATGTCTCTCTCAGCCCTTTCTGAACTGTGCTACAACAACTAAGAGGATTGAATCATTCAGGACATTTTCCAGAGAAAACACAAAAAGCCAACAATCCTCTTGTTCCCTTTACAGCGGCACAGAGCGTCTGTCCATCCTGGGTTTGCAGGTCAGAAGATAACCTGCTCCGATTTGTCTATACATGCGGTCTCTTCTTTTTCCATCAGTAAACAGATTTCTCCTAACCACATGTGCTTCACTATGCATCTGCCACATGTAGCTCCAAAAATGCAATATGTGTCTCAAAATCTCCTGTAACTTCTCAATTTCAGTGCTGTTTTGTGCACTTTAGTCACAGAAAAAATTAAACACGAAAAGCTGCACTTTAAACCCACATTGCAGAAGCAGCCAAAATAGGTCGCATGTTTTTTGTTGTTAGATTTAAATGTATTAGATTCAAAAGTCTGGAAGACGTTGAAATCGAGAGGGGTCTGCCTGCAGACCTCCACTCCAGGACACCTCCACTGTCAGTACAGGAAGTGACGATTCTGACGTGTGCTAGCTAATAGTGATGCTAATGATAGCTAATTCCTAATAGTAGTATGTGTGTCGTTTGTACAGTGCTACTTATATGTTATGTAAAGCCTGCATACTTATATGTGTTTTATTTCTGTATTGTTACAGTTTTACAAAGTAAAAGAAGAACAGTAAAGTCAAGAAAGAAAACCTTGCATCTTTATTGGAGGACTTTTAAATGTTAGCTAACTGTCTAGCTACGCATAGGGATACGCGCTGTAAGGGCAGAACAGTTCAATCAATCTAAGTGATGAAAAGTGATACTGTACTGATATTAACTACAATACAAGGTGTCCCTATATATATAGAATTTGAAGTAAAATGGTCTTCCACCAATCGGAAGCTCAGTAGCCCGACCCCGAGCCCTTTCCCTGTACATGTGAAAGTGTCCTTGGACCAGACACAAACCCACATTTCTCCCAATGGCATGGCCAATGGCGTATGAGAGTGAGTGCATGTTAGTTTCCCTGAGCAAGTGACACCCTGCAGCTCCTCTATAAATGTGTATAAGACATTGAGTTCTAATTCTGTGTATATAAGAGTATGTTGAAGGGTTGTGAAGAATGGAAAAGCGCTATATAGATGCAGTCCATTTATCTATATCACCATATAATGCATAAAGATTGAGGGTTCCTTTAGGATGCAATGAAATGCTCATGATGAAAACAACACTTCTGACCTACATTTTTAGCAATATTCATCTTAAATGTGTGAACAGGTGTTTGCGGTATGAAGCAGTACTAAAAACACACCTGAAGCTGCAACCCTCTCTCTGTCCCCCCACCTCAGGTTGACCGGAGCAGCAGAGAACAAGCGTTGGTATATCGCGGTGATGTGTGCCACCCTCTTCTTCTACACTATCGCCACCATGGCCTTCACTTTCATGTACAAGTACTACACACACCCCGTGGCCTGCCAGTTCAACAAGGCCCTGCTGTGGATCAACCTGGGGCTCTGCGGCCTCATGTCCTTCATTGCCGTCACACCGTGCGTGAAGCAGAGTGAGTTGATGAAACACAACTCGTCTGTCATCGATGTGCAGCGGTGAAATAACACTTAGTTCATCTCCAGCAAACATCCCCCTGTTGAAACCAGTGCTGCTGCAGATAATAATAATAATTAGATGTGAGCTAATATTCACTGTTCAGTAAAGCCATGCTCTGTCTGCACATGTCTGGGACTTACATACAGCTGCTTACTGAGATGAGAGTAACAATAAACATTTATAAGTATATGATGCTTTACTTTACTAGATTATTTCCATTATATATTGAATTTCAGAGGGAAATATTGTTATTGTAATATTGTAACTATTGTTGCATGTAACTATGCAGATGATTTTACCAATACATGATCATTTGGGGATTACACATTTTCAAAGATTAAACTAGTAGCAACTGTTGTATTAAAATGCTGTTTATGTGACAATGCATTGGTATTAATATATATATAGATATTATATTATTAGACAATTATTATCCAAATATCCCAAAATCCGACTGTGCACATGTCTCCATATTTGGAGCGCTTTCAGTACTCATTTCAGTCCAATTCAGGCTTGATGTTTTGTTTTTTATTTCATGAGAATTTGTGTTATTATTAGTATGTATAAAAAGAAAAAGCAGAATCTAATTAGCATGTTATTGTTAATGACTCAATGTCTCTTCTTCACTCTTGTTAACAGTAAATCAATGGATGGCAATGCACTTTTTTCCACTGTTGTTTTCCCAGTTTTGATAAGGTCACAATCTTTGCATCGTTGTGTGTTTTGGGCTGTAAAAGCAAAGTATTATTGTATGTGCTGGATACTCTGACCCTGACTTCCTCTCTCTGTCCCTGCAGAGCAGCCTCGGTCGGGGCTCCTCCAGGCCTCCATCATCAGCTGTTACGTCATGTATCTCACTTTCTCTGCGCTGTCCAGCCGCCCGCCAGAAAAAGGTATGCTAACCAACAGACAGAGAGCAGGAGCACAGCAGCAGATCTGTGCAGCTCCACTGAACATGTGTCCAGCATTAACACTGACACACAGACCGCACCTTATCAATTAAAAGATAATGAAATAGTAAAGGCCTACACTGACAGTGACCTCACAATGAGAAAAACATGCCTCCTTAATAATAATAATAATAATAATAATGATAATTACAAAATGTCTAACTATTATGAAATACTATTCTCTGCTCCACCAATGAAACAGGTGATCTGAATAACCTCCAATCAACTCAGGCCAATAGTGACATTCAGGTGAAATGAATTTGGGAAAGGGAAGCTAAAACAACTACCAAAGAAAGAGGGAATGCTGCCGTTCTACAAAGCATTGTAGCTTCTTTGAGCTTATTATTTTGGTTTTGACAACCGAAAATACTATGATTAAACCTTTAAATTAAATTAAATCCAAAAAACTCTATTGGAATGACCATAATGACGTATAGTGTTGCGAAAACTTTGAAATATTACAACATGTATACAGAAATAACATTTGGAATATATTGTTATGTTCATATACATTTTGAACAGAAACTAATTAACATACATTTTCTTTACAAGGAAAACAATATACTTTTTTTAATTGAACGTGCAGATTCAACAAAAGCAAAAACAAACACAGAACAACAGAAGACGAATTACTGATTATTCTGCAGGATAATGCTGATAATAAATGTATTATATCAATGAGGAAAAAATTATTTAAGTAATAAGGGTTTTTTAGGGAGTAGATGGAGATTTTTTTTGAGTTTGTTTACCAGGGTTTTGAAGCCTGGAGTTAGGCACATTTAGCCGTCACCATCTTGGTTTCGGGAATCAGATGAGACACAAGAGGGTGGAGCTACAGCTTACATGTGTAGGACAAAAACACATGACAACACAGACGTTCCATCTGTCAATCACTAGATAACCCCGCCCTGAAGCATGCAGCTTTATCAACTACATCATTTAACAAACTAAACATTGCACTGTATTGATCATTTTTAAGACAATTTGAAACAAGTGATTGAGACAATAAACTCGGCAGGAAAGTGTTTACTGAGATAATAAAACTAGTGAAAGTAATTTGTTCATAGACTTTAATACAATCAACTTATTTGAGACTTTATTTTCACCATAAAAGCCTCTTATTGTGAAATGTTTCAAAATGTGTGTCTGTATCCCATCATCCTGCACACACACACACACACACACACACACACACACACACACACACACACACACACACACACACACACACACACACACACACACACACACACACACACACACACACACACACACACACACACACACACACACACACACACACACAGCTATTTGAAATGCCTCTATAATTTGCCTTTGCTTCTCATAATGACTCACCTGCTGGCTCCAGATAAGACAAAGGTCCTCCACATGACTGAGACATTAGAGCAGCTCTTGTCAGAGGCCCCTGTCTTATCCTGGGTTTAAATCTTAATGGCACGCATGCAAATAAAGACGTACACTCACACACGTACATACACAGATAATCTGGGATAAGATGTGCTCTGACATGCTGCCTGCTGGGCCGGTGGCCTGTGGTGAGGGCAGACAGGTGGATATTTGTTTCACATTCCTCATGCATCCATTGACAACATAATAACACAGGAATACGCCTGGCAGCGTCATTAGGTCCTCACACAGCTCGTCATGTTAGTCAGATAAAGTGCAACTCGTTGTCAATATCTGGTAATGAAGAGTGATTTATTGGTCTGGTTTATACAGCTGAGGAACACACAGGAGGTCAGTTGTTGGTGTTTAAGGGGACATGCTTCTTTCTATATCTTGCATTATGCAACATTCAAAATCATGAAGCAGAGAAAAGGCAAGAAGACAAACCTATAGCAAACAGACCACAATGTATTATAGACATTGGGTAGTCAAGACAAGAGTCTGAGACCAAATACAGTTAAAGACCAAGTGGAGACCAAGTCCAGAGCAAATCAGGTCCTTCTCTAGATAGCAAAAGGCAATACTTTCTATCCAATGATAATTCTCTTCTTCCTGCATAACCATGCACACAGAGCTTAGATAATGCAAGCAAAAATAGAGATAACATACTAGCTGTATCAAAACAATTGCAAATTTAGCAAATTAAATATTAAAATCCTGGCCTTTTGAGTCCTACGTTTTATTAGGATTTGTAGTTATTATCAGTCAGTTATAAGACAAATCAGTAAATGAATCAGTCCCTAAACAGCAAAGACAATAACTAAGTGATTTTCCAGCAAAATAATACTAAGCTTTCGATGGTTCTAGCTTCTGTGGGACTTATGGAAAACTCAAGTGTGCCCGACGTATGGGTACTTTCGCCACATATGGGTAATTTTGCTCTCAAGAGTCAGGCCATTTTGGCTTCATGCGCCACTGAGCAACTTTTATAGGAATGAACGGGGGTCCCCCTAATGCTGTATCCAGTTCTCTTGATCAATCCATTGGAAGATGTGGATTCTGTCTCAGGAGTGTTTGAGAACTTCACTAACTGCCAATCATTGTTCTCCACAGAAAGACATTTGACATAAAACAGCAACAAACGGCTTAGGGTTAAGATATTTATCTTCTGTCCTTTTTTCTCTCTCGCTGTAAAACTGTTGCCAACGGAGTCCACTTGAAATGCTGTGAGTCTAAGCTAACATAAGTGCGATGGAAACAGATATTTTGGGGAAAAGAAAGTCATGATTGACATGTCTCTGTCAGTTGTTTCTCCATATTGATCATTCATATTGTTCATAAAACGTTGTTTAGCTAAAGGAGAGATAACAATAACAGTATGAGGATGTGGAAAACATTTAATGATGATTATATGCCACAATGATATAGAAGTCAATCTTTGAAGAAACGAAAATTGCATTTCCCTTGAATATTAGGTTGGAAGAAATAACAATTAACATATTAACGTGACTTCTGACTACTTTTTCTGTCTTTCTTTGTATCGAACATACTGTAGGAGGCCTACTGTGAGAGTGTACAGTATGAGTGTGTATAGTAGGTGTGTGTATGTGTGAGTCCTGGGGCATTGCAGGACATTGTAGCAACTTGTTGAGAAAATATGCACTCTGAATCTGTTACAAAAACACCTTTTCACCACCCCACCAAAAGACACTCATACACTGCCGTCGTATGATATTTAATTTCCCACTTAAGTCTTGCTGAGTTTCCTTCCTCAGCTACTTTAATTCATAAATCTGCCATACAATCATCTCAATGCGGGACATATGTCTGTGTTTGTGTGTGTGTGTGCGTGCGTGCGTGTTTGACAAAGACATCCTTTCTCGTTACTGTCTTCCTAGGCCCTTGTTTGCCTTGTCTGTCCCCGGAAGGCTTATTCTGCTCTATGCCCTCACCAAGACAAACACACACACACACACACACACACACAGGACTCTTGACCTGTGTGTGTGTGTGTGTGTGTGTGTGTGTGTGTGTGTGAGTGTGTGTGTGAGTGTGTGTGTGTGTGTGTGTGTGTGTGTGTGTGTGTGTGTGTGTGTGTGTGTGTGTGTGTGTGTGTGTGTGTGTGTGTTTGTCATGATGAGGTAACAGTCTGAGTCCTGTTATTAGCCAGTGTTTTCACTGAGTTCAGGTTGCACCCCCCACACTCAGCACACAAATGAAAAACTTCTCTCAGGAATCCACAGCCGACTGAAACTGACCGTCAGTCTTTGCACATGCATGCACATGTGTGAGCATACAGTACATATCTGTAAGGACTCTGTGTTCACCCTAGCGGTTATCCAGAGGGGGAGTCTTAGAGAGAGAGTCCCTGAAGGAGAAGTGCAGCTGAGACCCCCTATTTTACAAGAAAGACAGGAATTTCCCAGGATTTGAAAGGAAGGACAGAGAAAGAAAGAAAACATTTGAAGTGACACTTGGAAGACAACTACATTTGTCCATTTCCAAATATGTTTTAAATATGTTTTTATAAAGGCCTAATCAGCCTCTCATTTAATCTTTTTTTTACTTTCTTACAAAATGAATGTCTATTTTAAAAGACTCTAAAAAACAACTACAAGATCTAGCAAAAAGCTGCAAAGATACCACGATAAGCTTACAACAACCAAGCTAAGCATGGGCAAAACAACCACAAAGACACACAAAATGATCAAGAAAAGACACAAATTGAATACAAAGAAGCACAGTATGAAACGGACACACAATGATCACTAGCAAGACAAAATGACTCTAAAGAGACACACACAATTACAAAAAGAGGCAAAACAATTGATTTATAAACAGCTGATGTAAATCACCTAAAACTATTTCCATATTTTTTGTTTCCTTTAACCAAGAAAACATAGATACAATACGAGACTAGTGTTGTACATTTATCTGTAAAGAGTTTTGTCTGGAGTCAGCAGTAAAACCTAAATAATATACAATGTACTTTATTGATCCCAAATTGGGACATTTCTGAAATGTACGCCAGTGGTGTATATCATCATACTCACCTGTATACACAGTGAAAGTTAACACTCTGTTTTGCTCTCTGTCAGTGGTGTATCAGGGCATGAACATGACCGCCTGTTACCCCAGCGTGGGACAACATGACATCCAGAATGACGGCAACGCTGTGGCCATCATTGGAGCAGCCATCATGTACTGCTGTGTCCTCTTTGCATGGTGGGTCGTCTCTATGAACATCATATGTTTAAATAATGACTGTGTGTCTCATTACCATACCATAAAACATAATGTTTCCAAAAATAAATTACAGAAATAACTAACACTACTACACTTTACATCTTCTTAAAGGAGGAAATATGTGTGTGTTCAAATGTAATTTCTCCGCAGTAATGAAGCTTCCTACCTGGCAGAGGTGTTCGGCCCGTTTTGGATGATCAAAGTTTATCGCTATGAGTTCCAGAAAGCCACCTGCTTCTTCTGCTGCCCTGAGGAGGAGGAAGGTTTGTTCTGATGACGTGATATTATAAATATGTTTTCTTAAAGGTGCTTGGTGGGGTACTTTTGCATCTATATTGTACTCATTCAGTAATATTAAGATGAAAGTCAGACAAGAAGGTGGTCCAGGGTCCAACATCCAGGCAATTCAAGCTATGTTTTGATAATTGTTGTGCTTTCGTTTCATGTATGTACGTTTTACATACAAACAAGAGCGGGAGAAATGTCAACCACAGAAATAAAAAAGATGGTGTCATGGACTAGACGGTATTAAGGTTGGAGGTTGTGTAAAATGTATGTTTGCAGTATTCAGGCACAGAAAACGTCATATCTGGGTGAAAAACATTATTGAAGGTAGATGTATTTGTTTGTATTTTACAAGGCAGGGCAATACAAATAACATCAAGCGCAAATTGCTAATTGCTGCGACCAGGTATGCGCATGGATCTATAAAGAGAAGTGGATACAACGTTGGAAGAAAGCTGCGATTCATTAGTCTGAGCTAAAGACTAATACAGTCAATATTTGAATGTAATACTAACATATCTTAACCTACCTACTATAATTCCCACATTTTACATATTACTTCTGATCCCTTTGGCAATTCATACTGTAATTGTGTTTCCAAACCACAGTCAGGTCCTCACTAGTGGTTTACTGCATGTAGCCTGTGACATCATTAAGTCTTTATCCAGTTCGTCTTATATCAACAGAGCACTCTGTCCATTCACAGCCCTGTGAGTCTTTGACCCCTGACGCCTGTGAACTTCAGTTCTGATAATCCCACTACCAAAAATCTTGACAACGGAGAATAAAATCATCGTGATATTCAGCATCAATATATTGAAAATGCAAGCGCTAAGGTTATTTATAAAGGAGGGCGGGGTTAATGTGAAGGTGGTGGGGCAAACTGTAATTAATTTCTGTGTTCAGTTAGTTGCTGCAACCATGCCAGTTGTTTGCATATTGACTATTTAAGGATATTTCTTTAAACCTGTGTTTAGTGGCCATTAGAGGGCTATAAAAGTTGATGAAAGTAGCACCCTCAACAAGTATGTGCTGTATATTCAAAATCTATTTCAACCTATACTGGATGGGCAGTACATCAAAACATTGTCCTCATAAGTCTTTAGCTGCTCTGCAAATTAAATTGAATTCGGCATGGAGTGATTGGGGATCCATAATTAGCTCTGATTCCTGCAGTGTGTACAAGTTCACCATTTGAATTGATCTACTATAAATTCAGTGATGTTTGAAGTTGGCTGTGACAGTTGCACATGTTCCTTTTCAGCTGAGGAAGAGTTTGTGATGGATGACGACAGCAAAGGCTGTCAGAAGGTTGTCCACAACGAGACGCAGAGAGTGGCCTACAGCTACTTCTTCTTCCACTTCGTCTTCTTCCTGGCCTCGCTCTACGTCATGATGACCCTCACTAACTGGTTCAGGTTAGTTTATGCTATGGGATGTATGAAAATTAGAGTGGGAGTGAAGGATCAATTAATGTGAAGAGTAGTATATTTTTTATTATAGTTGAAGGACGGGAATATTTTTTGTAAGAGTGTGTATCCGGTATGGTGGATGTAATAAATTACATTTACTCAAGTATTGTACATAAGTTACATTAGGAGAAATGTGTACGCGATAATACACGCTGCAGTTACGAAACACATTGTGGGTAGAAGGGATGCTGGGGTCCTGATGTGTTTTGGTAACGGCTAAAAAAATGGCCATGTTATGACACTCCAATTATGTCTTGAGCACAACCTCACAGAAAATAAAAAGAACGTGTTTCTATTTCATTTGTGAGACTGTGGAATCTTGGAAGAGTGAAGGATAGGGGATGCCTCTTTCCTTTCCTTCTTTTCCTCCTTTCTCATCTTCACATTATCTTTGTCAGATTTCTGTGAGCTGTCAGCTCATTTTCCAGAACCCTCTTTTTGTTTTTTAACTGGCACTGCATGATTTTAAATATTGTCAGCTTAGCCTGACTTTCAAGCTTCTTCTTACACGAGAGCTTCCTCCTGTAGTGTTTTAACTTCCACTTTTCTCTGGGTTCTCCATGTCAGCTGTTAAGAAAGCTTAGATGTGTGAGATGTGGTTTTGACTTGGCACGTGTTTTCTAATACCTTAATAAAATGCTGGGGATTATTCATACCATCTCTGTATAGCTTTAAAACATATTCAGTTACCCTGCACTGGTTATTAATGTGTTTTCACCAGTCCCTAAGCAACTTATGGTTTCCTGCCTCAAATTGTGTTGTCCTCCTGCAGCTATGAGTCAGCAGTTTTGGAGACCACCTTTACCCACGGCAGCTGGTCTACCTTCTTGGTGAAGATGTCGTCGTGCTGGGCCTGTGTGATCCTCTACCTCTGGCTGCTGCTGGGCCCTCTGTGCAGCTGCCAGTCCGAATCAAGACCTCGACGCTCACGCATTAAACGGCGCTCAGGATTGTCCCGTCACGTGCACGTCAGTGTGTGACACGCTCTGGAAGAGGAGTGAGGCGGACATGGCACGATGTGGACGAGCGATCATCTCCCCTCGGTGGCCTGCAGGAGGGGATTATCAGAACTGAAGTTCACAGGCGTCAGGGGTCAAAGACTCACAGGGCTGTGAATGGACAGAGTGCTCTGTTGATATAAGACGAACTGGATAAAGACTTAAGCCCCTGTCACACTGTCCCGAAATGTACACCCGATGGACACACGAATATTGAATTGTGAATTTCGCACGAAGATGGCCCCGAACCACACACAAAGGCAACATTTACATTACATTTAAGACATACAACTGCAACGAAAGTAACACAAACAATTATGTTAAAGTACTATGATACTGTACGGATATTTTCAGACTTTGTTCTTTACTTTATCCGTCTTTATATGTAGAATATATTAAGTGTTCTCCTTAATGTTGTTTCCATAGCAACAACAACTTCCTGTCAACTCTCCTTCAAAATAATATATTATATCCTTTTTAGTTTCACAGAACACAAATTGGGTTATTTATATAATATGTTTACATGATTTTGTTGTGCAATAAAACAACCCGATGGACACACGATAAAGGAAATGTTCAAATTCGGCTCTGATCGTAGCAACATCGGGCCATTCGTGAGGGCATCTTAAGCCATCGTATGACCGCTGGTGGAGTTTCTCAGGCTCCGGCAGCAACTTCGTGAGCGGTGCCAAAATCTTTGGCATGCCAAAAAATTGCCGAAGGACCTTGCGAAGGTTCATTTTCGTCATGACTTTGTGTGTCCATTTTGCCCTTCGTAAGGCCATCGTGAGGGCATCTTGTTATCATCGGTGCCATCGGGCATTCGCCACGATCAGAGTGAGGGTGAATGCACCGATGATAACACGAAGATGACACGATTTGACAAGATGCCCTCACGAGTGCCTTACGAAGTTGCCGCTCACGAAGTTGCTGCCGGAGCCTGAGAAACTCCACCGGTGGTCATACGATGGCTTAGATGCCCTCACGAATGGCCCGATGTTGCTACGATCACAGCCGAATTTGAACATTTCCTTTATCGTGTGTCCATCGGGTGTCAATTTCGGGACAGTGTGACAGGGCCTTTAATGATGTCACAGGCTACATGCAGTAAACCACTAGTGAGGACCTGACTGTGGTTTGGAAACACAATTACAGTATGAATTGCCAAAGGGATCAGAAGTAATATGTAAAATGTGGGAATTATAGTAGGTTGGTTAAAATATGTTAGTATTACATTCAAATATTGACTGTATTAGTCTTTAGGAAGGCGGCTTCCATAGCAATAATATTTCTAGAGGCCAGTATCCCACTGTTTGTTTATCTTTCTTTTTTATAATAATCTTCCCTAAAAAAGAAAGCCCTGTTAGTCCTCTAAACTTAGATGATGGTTTTGATCATGAACATATCTTTCTCAAAGTTGAGGATTGATTGCATTGACTGTGTTGGCTCAAATATGACCTCTGATCCATGATATAGTCCTGACTGGTTGCAAATGTTTGCATTGCATGGGGACATTGGTTACAACTATAGAAAATATATTAGGTAAATAGCAAGGTAGATATACGCCAGTGGTGTCCAACTATATGAGAAGGTTTACCTGGAAAGTGGGGGTGGACCAAATGGGTGGGCAATGCAATGCAAACAAAACATCACAACAGAACAGAACTTCACAACATACAAGGGTCCAAGAATGACTAAACAAAAGACAAGATTTAAAAACAACTGAACTAATGACGGGATGAAGTGCAGGTGTACTGGAGGACAGGTGGTTGAAGGGCCAATGGGAAACAGGTGAAACTATTAAGGCCAGAACAAACCATCAAAACAGGCTGAAAAAAAACACACAAAGACTGGAAGTAAAACAATACATGGCATTGAGAAATCATCAAAATAAAACACTAGACAGATAATACATAAAGCAAGATCATAATAGTGTTTTTTTAACCAAACGTAATCCCAGATGTTGTCTCTATGTTTTGTTCTGATTTCCAGTACAAAGCCAAAGAAAGATTTGTTCATGTGAGGAAAAAACCCCTGACGTGTCCAGGATCACGGGGATTCTGTTTCAGTATTTTCTCTGCATTGACTGAGGGGCAGCTAAATAGAAATGTATGATGTTCTTTAAAAGTCAACACAAGGCATTTTTTAAATTGAGGCAAAAATACTTTGCATTTGATTTACTACGAGGAATATGTTGCATGCTCACATTATGTTGCTCTACAGTTCATCATTCACTTTTACTCTTGTTTACATTTTGTTTTACATTTGTTACTCTCTTTTGAAAAATTTAAAAATTTGAAACCATGAGTGCTCAAAATCAAAAAAGTACTACAAGTCTCTTTCAGAGGGGATGGAAGCTTTCTGTCTCATGCCTTCACATTAAATAGTCATGTCTGCTGAGGTGAACTGTGTGATCTAAAAAAAGCCCCCCACATGTTTGTGTTGATGTTGGTAGGCTATGTGGAAACCTGAGGCCTGTACTACGAAGCCGGATTTTCACTTAGCGAACTAAATTCAGGGAAAGATTTGGATTTCCGGTCCTACGACGCTGGTTCACTTTTTAGCGGGCTAGATCTCCACGGTAATTTAAGCTGAACGGCTAGCCTGCTCCGGAGCAGGTTAGGTTGCAGAGATCAACTCAGTGAAAGCATCGCCTGCTGACTAATCAGAGCTCCGTGTGCGGAGAAAGGAAATACAGTTTAGACTGCCGTTGTGTGAACGTGAAAATTAATAGAATATCACCTCCCATCTTCAGAGCAATCTGACTATTATAACATTAGCGTTAAGAAAGCTTACCTAAATATCTGCCACAACACAAGTAACCGGATCAAAGTAACATTACGAACAGTCCGCGGCACTGTGAGTGCAGACGCCATTATCATTCATATTACATCATAGTCCATATTTCCTTATCTGAGTCAGCTTCTTGAGCCGTATCTGTCAACTGTCAACACATTAAGTTGACGAAACACTTGAGTTAAATGTAATTAAAGTCAGATCCACTGTCTTAGACGGGGCAGTGATATCATAAACCTGTTAATGTAGCCTATGCATTCAAACACTTTTTCTTTTACCAGAGCTATTCACCTTGCTTTTATCTAAAGTGTTTAAGTCATGGATGTTTAAAGTTTAACGTCTTTATATGTCTAATATTATACTTTACTTTTCATTCAGGAAGTATGACGCTGCGCTGTCAGTACGCTTCTCCATGTTTGCTTCGTAGGGCTGTTTAGCGAGAGCGCGTTTGTTTTGGATTAGGTAAACCAGCTAACTCAAACATATCCAGGGTATGTTGAACTGGATTCGTAGTACAGGCCTCTGGGAAAGAATGGTATCTGTTGCAATATACGTTGGCCAGGGGGACATTATTTGTGGATGCACAGCTGGCCCCCGGGGACGACAGGAGCCGAGGGACCAGGCATGAGCGTCAGTTCTGAAGTTAGCACGGCTAGGATGTTGCATTGTATCTTGTGGAACATTACAAGTAAAGTACGTGAGCGTAAGATAGAGTGTGTCGTTATTATCAGTATAGTACACAATACATATTGAAACATGGTGGCAGCAACACAAATCCAGCCCCGGAGAACAGTGTTCTAGCGCACCACGAGGATTCAGTGAGTGGCTAGTGAGAGGGAGCTAAGAAGACGATCCGAGTGACAGCGCTACGCACGAGTGGACATGGAGAATGCAATCAAACCGCCGGGTAACATTTACTTTGATGATGCTAACTTGTCACAGGCCTGGAAAAGATGGAAGGAGGAATTCTGTTTGTACATGGATCTAACTATGGAAGACAAAGATGATGGCTACAAGGTAAAACTGCTGTACTACCTGATTGGAGAAAAAGGAAGAGAAGTATGTATGTGCAACATTGGGAGTTGGAAGAAATGAAGAAGAATTGTACATAGATGAAGTATTGGCAGCATTGGATGCATGTTGTGACCCTAAGAAGAATGAAACTATTGAAAGATACAATTTCTTTACAAGAAGTCAGGGCTAAGAAGAGAGTTTGGACCAGTGGCGAGCCGTGACTTTTATACCTAGGCCCTCTGACCACCCCTTCCCTCGAAAAAAAAGAAGAGATATTACGTCTCAATGTAGACTTCAGCGGAATATCAAAACAGTGGTCCAGGGTGCAAAACGCATCAATGACAGCGACCCTCTACCACACAAAACATCATTTATATAAACACCTATCATGACAGGGCACCCACAGCCAAGTAGCAATTACAAATGAATTAATTCGGCACGGCGGCCCGCAATGAAAATGACTTAGGCCTACCTTTGATGATCAAATCACTTAAACACAAAGTCCATCCTCCTGTCCTTTTGGATGAAGCACTTGCGGGTCATTCAGTTGATCCTTTGCCACTCCAGTTTATCATTGTAACTACTCGGTTAATAATTTCACAACGATGTCATCACTATCACTGAAGTGAGCCATCATGAACGAACTTATGCTAATCATAAATCTATCGATCATAAATCTATCGTTTAGATTTATGATTCAAAAATGATAAAAGTAGGATAGACATGTGTATATTATCCGGCTGAACACAACGTGCATTTATCTAACAGGTTCGTTTTCCACAGACCTTATTTCGAGCTATTTTCCAAAATCCTATGGAGAAATCCCGTTGCTTTCTGTCGAGGGAATCCGAGCGAAGCTTACTTCCGGGTTTTAGGACGCGTCATTGCACCACTTGCATAGACCATTATACATCATGCATAGACCTCACAGCGGGCGGATCCTGTCATAAAGTCCGCGAAAATAAAGCCCGCCCATTTAGAGGGAAGATATGATTGGTCAATTGTACTGTCATTTGACATTACTCTCTCGTTCAGTTACTATAGCGGGCCCTCTGTGAATGTAGAGAGGGACCAACCGGGACCAACAAGCTCTCCCGTCTTCACAGTAACTCGCAGAGACGGCATTTAACCCTTCACATTCCAACAGAAACTGAACAGGCAGATTCGAAGGATTTATTTATTTGGAAATATTATTTTAAATACAATTAAATCAAGTTATTTTGGTAAAACTAATGACAAATGTAAGAACAAAAAAATATAAAAAATAATATTTTTTTAAAAAATGTTTTTTTTTTAATGTTTTCATATATAATTTTGTAGAATATCTTAGGCCCTCACAGAGGGCCTAGAGGGCCCTGACGGCTCGCCACTGGTTTGGACATATATCTAACAGAACTGAGAACGTTAGCAGCAACATGCAACTTTGGCATTATTTCAGACTCTAATCAGAGATAGGATAGTGTGTGGAACATGGGATTCACAGTTAAGAGAATGTCTTCTCAGAGAAACAGATC